ATTCTTCTTCCCTTTTTTTTGGAAACAGGGTCCTGCTCTGTCGCCCAGGCAGGAGTGATGTGATCATAGCTCACTGAAACCTTGAACTACTGGGTTCAAGTGATCCTCTCACCTCAGCCTCCTGAGTGGGACTACAAGCATGCATTGCCATGCTTGGCTAAATTTTTAAATTTTTTGTAGAGATGAAGTCTTGCTATATTGCTGTGGCTGGCCTCAAGCTCTTGGCCTCAAGCGAGCCTCCTGCCTCAGCCTCTTAAAACTAATTACTGATTCAATAGCATTCTTACAGCCAGAAAACTCATATGGCTTTGAAGTCAATTCCCAAAAACTTAATTTAAAACAGGATGATTCTTCCAAATACCAATTTTTTTTCAGCATTAGAGGACTGAGCTACTATGTTGCCAGAAAATATCAATTATTCAATAATTCTAACTTATGAGTAATATAGAAAAATACCTAGTAGTCAAGTAAAAAGTCATTAAGGATCAAACAACAGGATCTTAGGATATGGGGCTAATTAGGACCAGATACTCCAGATTATGTAATTCAGTGGTTCTCAAATTTTAATGAGCATCAGAATCACCAGGGGAGAGGAGGGCTTGTTAAACTATAGATTGTTGGGCCCTATCCCCAGAATTTCTGATTTAGCAAATTGGGGGTAGGGCACAAAAATTTGCATTTCTGACAAATTCTGAAATGATGCTGATGCTGTTGGTCTAGGGAATCACACTTTGAGAACTGCTGATCTTGTTGGGTTTTCTCCTTCCAAAGTTGTTTATCAGCTAAGAGGACTGTTTATCTAATGAAGAAGATGTTCTTGGCCAATTTCTTACCTAACTCAAGAGTAGACAGGCACAATGGCTGAAGAGAACTTACTACATGAGACACCCAGATTGTATATATCATGACCCAGTGAGGTAATACTACTGTGTTACCCATTTCACAAATGAGGGAACATGAGGCTAGGGAGTTGAACCCAGACAGACTTCAGAGTGAGTTCTTAACCACTTCCACTACTTTGCTTCTCATGGTAACAGATAAGAACTTAACTGTTCGGCCGGGCGCGGTGGCTCAAGCCTGTAATCCCAGCACTTTGGGAGGCCGAGGCGGGTGGATCACAAGGTCAAGAGATCAAGACCATCCTGGTCAACGTGGTGAAACCCCGTCTCTACTAAAACTACAAAAAATTAGCTGGGCATGGTGGTGCGTGCCTGTAATCCCAGCTACTCAGGAGGCTGAGGCAGGAGAATTGCCTGAACGCAGGAGACGGAG